TGAATCATATTTTAACACTTTCTTTGAAAATTATGGTTTAATGCTGAATAAGTGTAGAAAGTTTTGGATTTACAGTAAACTGTAACATTAAACGGTGGCGTTAGTACCTTTGCCCTTATCCCACTGAAAAGGAAATCTCATGGTGCTCCTCTCAAAATGTACAATAATATAACAGAATCTTGGCATTTATGGCATAATTATAGGTGGTTTTCCATTTTAGGGCACACAAGGGGACAACTGTGCCACAACGCACAAAGCTATTAAAACAAATAAAGCTACAGAAACCAAACATACTAAAGTGTTTTTTCTCGTGGACGTTGGTGTACTCAGCAGCCATATAAGCCCAATTGTCATAGGAAAAAACGTGGCCGGTACAGTCATGCTGCCACTCCGTCAAAGTTCTAACATGAAGTACTACGTGGCTGTACATCAGTGATGTGATTGGAGAAAAGACAAACAGAAGACAGGTTTACACCATCCGGAGTCATATCAATTGTTGTCTAAAATGAAGTATGTCTGCCTCCTCTAGATAAATATTTCAATTATCTACGATGTAAATATAATGCTCATGGCACATTATTAATCAGCAGAATAAAGTCTCTGAGCTGGCTGGCACGTCAGCGCGGTCGAACATGTTTGCAAGCATGGTTTCCGTGTTCCTTGTGTTCTTATACCTAATTCAGTGCAGTTTTTTGGACGGCGAACAGACTATCTGAAAAAGCAGAAATTGCATACTAACATCATGGGAAAGTCCCAACTTAAATGCTGTTTAATGTATGATGGAATTGTTTTATGGTGAAAGAACGAAACTACGAAAGCGTTCAAATCCGAACAAAAACTTAAACAAAAACCTTAAAAACTAATCCAGATGTTCACACAATAAATCATGTTTTGAAATGCCAGTAACAATTGTAAAACAAACTTCACGAAACAGGGATTGAATTCTGTGCCCGCGTCATGCCTGCTGCTTGGGAAAATTGGTGGTATTATTGTTGGTGTGATATGCTTGCTGACTGTTTTCGGACGACTTTACTATCTTAGGCAGTCTAAGTGGCAGCATGAACAAGAAATTTTGCATGCTTGAACAAGTTTGCTGACGATCAAGGATCTATGAATTTTTTTTCCTTGCAGTGACGAGAAATATATTACTGCTTGTTATCTACGTTTGGTACAAAATTAAGCTATTCCTTTCATGGTCAATTGTAGGCCGAAAGTAGCCTGGTAGCAATTTTTTTTCCGAGCCGAGAATCTGCGAAATGTCAGGCATATTCATGAGACTGGTAATTTACATGAACCTTGCATATTGCGTTCCATCCGCTGGCACGCCCGGTTGTCAAGGGGGTCTTTTGTTTCCTGGGGACTGGCGTGCTCGCCGTGATCCTGTGGGATGTCTGCCGATCCGGGACCTGTTGGTGGACGACTTCAACTCTTTGTAGGGTCTTTGGAGAAAGTCACATTGGACAACTGGGTGCTCAGGACCATTTGTTACAGATACGCCCTCGAATTCACAAGCATCCCTCTGTCTGTACCTATCTTCCGTCCGACTTCAGTTCCTCCCGACAGAAGCAAACAACAGGAACTGGAATCCGAGATAGACTCTCTCCTTCAGAAACATGCTATCTGCCCGGTTCTCAAATTTTAAGCGAACAAGGGCTTCATTTCAACGTTCTTCCTTACTCTAAAGAAAGAAGTCAACAGGTAGCAACCTATTGTCAACCTCAAAATTCTGCCTGGAAATCCTTCGGACGGTCACCCAATCTCTACAGATTCCATGTTGGGCCTCTTCCATAGACTTGAAAGATGCCTACCTTCTCATCCCGATTAACCCATGAAGCTATGAATACATGTACCTACGTTTCCTATACAACAGGAACCTTTTTGAATTCACAGCTCTCCCCTTCGGCCTCTCCGCTTCACCAAGAGTGTTTTCCAGGATTGCAAAGATCGTTCCCGCTCACCTTCGAAAGCGGGACGTCATGCTGTTCTAGTACTTGGATGACTGGCTGATTATTGGTAGATCTGCCAATGAAGTAGAGGTTTCTACCTTCCTTAATTGCGATATCACAAATCGCCTGGGCTTCATTATCAACCACGAGAAGTCAAATCCCAACCCAAAGCAATACCCAACATATCTAGGGGCATCTATTGACCTTTAATGATGTATAATCTCACCATCGATAACCTTCTTGACTGCGTGAAAGTCTTTTCTACTGAGCAGTCGGCTCCAGCCTGCACCTGGGTCCGTCTCCTTGGCTCGATGGCCAGCATGGTGGACCTCATCCCACTCTTCAGGCTGTATATGCATCCACTACCGTTTCATCTTTTAGCTCTCTTCAGGCCGAAATGGGACTTAATCAATTTCCAGGTCCCCATCTCGGACTTCATCTGCCCCCATTTCCAGTGGTTGTTAGTGAAGAGACACCCTTCTCTCAGAGTTCTCTTCCCCAAAGTGAACCCAAAAATAACTATCACTTTAGATGCTTCTCATCTGAGCTTGGGAGCCTCCCTATTGATGCTTCAAACATCGGGAACATGGGACCTCCAGCTCCAAGGGAGTCACATCAATATACTGGAACTTTAGGCTGTATTCAACACACTGAAAGCTTTCCACCTGAGCATCATAGGCAAACAAGTCCTCATCTGCTGGGACAACTCCACAGTGGTGTCATACATTAATGGCCAGGGAGACATGCATTCTCCCCACCTGTGCCTCCTGAAGAGACAGATATTCCTTTGGGCCCAGGATTATGGCATCCGACAACTCCATAGCAGATGCTCTCTCTCGGGGAAAGGTACGTCCCACGGAGTGGAGTCTGCACACCAGTATATTCGAACAGATTTTCGCTGAAGTAGAAAAACCGAACATCATTGTTTTTGCCTCAGCAGAGAACAGCCAACTGCCAGTGTTCTGCAGCAGATTTTATTACGTGCAAGCCTGGGCAACGAATGCTCTTCAAATCAACTGGGAAGGCATGTTGGCCTACGCTTTCCCTCCAATATCCCTAATACCGGCAGTTCTCTTCGAGATCGAACGGGAATGCTGTCGTGTCCTTCTCATGGCCCACTTCTGGCCACACCAGCCATGGTTCCCATGTCTGACCAGACTTCTTGTCCGGGTACCGATGATCCTTCCTAACAGATCGATCTGTACATCAACCGAAGTTGGGCATGCTTCACCCTCCTCTGACATCACTACACCTGACCTGTTGGCCTTGTCAAACAGTCTTCCAGATCTGCAGGACTTTCTGATGAAGCTGCCGAAATGGCCTCAAAGAGTCGATGCCAGTCTACATGCAGCATCTATGTTTCCAGATTACGACATTTTACTTCGTGGTGTTCAGAGTGAGGTCTTGGTCGGACCAAAGTTTCTGTGACTTCTTTAGCTGACTTCTTCATGCACCTGTTCAAATCAGATCTCCAGGTTTCAAGTATCCGTAACTACCGGTCAGCCATTGGGGCTATACATGATGACTTCCCAGATGGCTCGACTGTGTCCGACAATAATGCTTTTAAACATGTACTCTGGGGAAAGTTTCTTGAGCGTCCCCCAACTAAGAGACTAATCCCTTCATGGAACTTGTCAGCTGTTCTCCAACTGCTTGCTGGTCCCCCCTTTTAGCCTGGCATTCCTGCTGGCAGTTACTACCTCACGACGTGGCAGTGAACTGAAAGCATTGCCCATCACAGGCCACATTTGATGGGAACCCCATGGTGTTCTTCTCATCCCAGTCAGTTTCCTCCCATCTTCCTGACATTTTTGTACCAGACATTACCAAACACACTAGGACTCCTGACGACGAAGCATGGTGCCCTGTGCAAACTCTTAAATGGTACTTAGCCAAAACCAGAAAACTCAGAGGTACAACTTTGCGGCTTTTCATCACCGACCTGCGACCAGAGACACTGTAGCCAGATAGATAGTTTAGGCTATCAAGTTAGCCAACCCAGATTGGCTGAACTCTGTGGACAGTGAAACACGACGCCTCATCAGAGCTCATGATATCCAAGCAGTTTCCACATCATGGACCTACTTCAGGGGTGTACCAATGGAGGAAATGTGCATGGCAGCATGCTGAAAGACCCCATCTACTTTCACCACATGCTATCTCACCAATATTCTTCAAAAGGACTCCGCACATGGCAGAGCGGTCCTAACGTCAGCCACATCGATGCCAAAGGGTTCCTCATCAAAGCAGTCCACCACTGGAATGACATAACAACTCCATTATTTTGTAAATCTGCAATTAAGTTTAGACAATTTCATACTCTTCTGGCACTCTCATTATGTAGTATGTCCTCGCCGCACCCCCCTCCAAGGGCTCAGTGCTACTCTGCATATTTAGCGACTGTCTGGGGTATGCTGATAGCAGAAGACTCCTCCCCACAGAAAAGTTGCGAGGTCTGCTATTGAATACCTACCCCAGACAGTTGGCTCCCGCCCATCCTTCCCCACCTTTGGCTTGGATGGTTTTAATACTGGAAAAAAAAGTGATAATGGCAGCCATTCCGCTATGCATCATGAGACTAGAGGGCGCACTGCGGTTGATCAGAAGTTTTAGCGAATTGAATCAGCTGCAAAGGAATTTGCATATTTAGTGACTATTTGGGGTAGGTATTCAATAGCAGACCTCACCAACATTTCTGTGGGGGAGGAGTTTGAAGGTCAGGACATTTGTGATGAAAATTGCAAAAATTTTGCATAATATTTTTTAGTGATTTACAGGAGGCATGATATTCGGGTATGTGTTGCTGATTTTTAGAATGTTAAAATTCAATTAAGTTAAAGATTTGTTTGAAGAGAATTGCAGCATTAATAAGAAAAAGAAAAGCCTAAACAGTGTTACAGTATGACTTTGTTATGCATGTTATCAGCCTATATGTTCATTGTAAATATACATGTACTATGTACGTACACAGTACATTTACATGTATGTACAATACCAGCTAACTATAAAAGTGTGTATTCCAACTTGTAACCAATACTGCAACATTTTTTTCAGGGCCTAGACAGTATTCACAATGATGTTGAGTCTATGAGATCAAGTTGTCAAGATATGACAGGAAGACTTAAGGTGAGTAGAACCCATGAAGGTATTATATGCCATATGTTTAGGACTTATGAACTAAATGTACATGTATACAAGTCCAGTGTTCTCAGGAAAGTCTTTAGCATGATGGACTACCTTGCCAAAATATTATGCTGCCCCCTGTAAAATTTTGCCACCCAGCTAAAATTTTCACTGCCTTGCTTTTTTTTTTCTGCTGTATTTTTTTTGCTGTTTTCGTGACAGCTCTAGCACAAGGAAATTTACTGCACACTGTGGAACAAGCATGAAAAGTTTGCCAGCATTAATATTCAGCAGTATTAGAGTAACACTTCTAGATCAGGACCCAACATAAACTTTATGCAGCATGTAATATCGTGGATAAATAAATGGTAATACATGCACATACGTTTTCCTAGATTCATATCGTAAAATGACTCAGTCAGACAACAGCTCAACAATCCAAAAATTAATCACCCACTTTAAAAGGAGATACCACAAAATTATTGTCTTGTGGAACTCATCCACAAGATGAAAAAGACTTCGAAGTTTGATCAATTTTTCCTTCTCATAGAGTAAAATATCAAGTCTACAGTGCTCATCTTACCCATAAAGCCACTACATGTACATGTACCTAAAGGCTACCCACAATAGGCTACCCACCGTGCCCTGCAATATGCCTACCATCTTATTTTCTTCTTTCCTCTTAGTGTCGGATGGTGACAGATTGTAAAATATCTGTGTCATTTTTGGCGAGCTGTGAAGCAAATGCGAGCCTATGTAATACCGATTTCCATCCGTCCGTCCTCAAATGTAAAAGTTTTTCCTTGCGAGTACATACATGTAGGTGGTACAATGTACCATTGAGTGCTTGTTTGCTTTCCCTCTTGAAATTTTATCAGTGTACAAATAGTCTCATATGACATTAACGCTTAAAATATTGAGAGCCAAGGACGATGTTCGGTATGGCCGAATGTTTGAAATAGCGGTGTTCAATATAGTGATATTCCACTGTATTGTGTACTTACCCTGTAGTACATACTGTACATGTATATGTACCCACTTGTACACATGTACTGAGCACTCCTCCAAGTGACAGATACGGATGTTTGTTGGGGGAGGGGTACCTTTTGGAGGAGGATCATTGGGACAAGGTATGTGTATGTAAAAGTGGATGAAATGCTGGATTGCGTTGGTGTAATGGTTGGGCTGGATAAGTGGGATGATAGGACAGCCAGAGTAAGAAGTGAAGGGAATGATGGGAAGGGGTGGAGTAAGAGATGAATGGGATGATGGGGAGAGGCAGAGTAGGAGATGCATGTAGATAGGATGATGGGGAGGGGGTGGAGTAGGAGATGGATAGGATGATGGGGAGGGGGTGGAGTAGGAGATG